TCCCGAAGCCCAATTGGGCTTCGGGATTAGGTTGTAGGGCCCGCCCGCGACGTGAATGTAAGTTTCTAGCGGATAGAGTCTGTTTCTTTGCTACTTGTGCCGTTCAACCCGCCGAAGTTGGCCGCTTACTGTTCGATACACGCTGCTTATCGCGCACAGTGGCCCAGAGTTCGACGTCCAATGCCGAATCCCCCTCCGCCAAGTCCCAGCATTGGGAAAGCCATGCGTAAAAAGCTTAGATCGATAGTCGATGCCTCCACGCTTTTCGTCCAGAAGCCCCCGCCCCATTGCAACTTGGCAGGTGGGTCCCAAAGGAGGTCCAGATGCTGTTGACAGGGATTGGTGCCTTCCCTGAAGTGGAGAATCTCCCGATCTAGGGGGAGGAGCAGTGGCTCCTAGAGCCCTAGACAAGAGTTTGGCACACCTTTTGGTCCCCAGGGTCCAGGCTCCTGTATGCCAAAGAAGAAGCAGAGCGTGCAAGAATTCTGCCTGATAAGCATCGGTCATTGCAAGTGATTGGCACGTCGTGGTGCTCCTGTCGTTCTACAAGCAAGCTGATGATGCGATGCCTCCGCTGTTCTTCCAAGGCTTATAACGGCATTGGACCTGAAGTTCGCGCAACCTGTCGTATTGGATGACCAAGCGAGTTCCCACGTGTTATTGGTCGGACTGGGTCTCAGGACTCAGTCTGTACAACATGTACATGCTCAAGACCCGATCTTGAAACTGTGGCTGTAGCTTTAAGTGGGATAATTAACAGCCTCGAGAATGGTTGCAGTATCGTGTTTGCATGTGTCCTCATGGAGCCTGACTAACCCGAAGTCGTAAACTATCCTACGTTGCTCCGCGTGTAAGGATGTGCTTGTGTAGGCCATCCTGCGTTCACAGGCAGCAGGAGGCCTTGATTCGGCAGCTCCTTGGTCAGCCGCCCGTGCGCGTGGCACAGGCACACGTACATGTAGTGGGTTTGCGGGTTATACGACTCAGTGACTTGACATGGACGAGGCTCTGCTTCCTGGAGTATCGGGTTACAGCTACAGGGACAGGCAGTACGGGTAATAGCAGCGACATGACTAAAGTTCGTAGCTGGGGTCGGTGGCGTTGGTGCTGTTGGCCTCACAGGTTGACTCGCAAGGTGTTCGTCGTCGTGGTCGTAGTGGTGGCGGCTCTGCCTTGTCATCATGACATTGTTGCATCATGTTGCATCTGTCCCATGTTGGCCTTCACATGCACAGTCGAGGCAGTGCAGCTAGCACGAATAGAGTCGGCACCTTTAAACTCGTCACCCTTGGCCGTATAAACCCCAATCCCGCGGTACACCGGACTCCAATTCAGCAGGCCAGACCGCCGTCAGGCCTCGGCTTAGCCTCTCGGCAGGGGAGGGATAAAACAAAATAAATAGGAAGAATCAAACAAAACATTAGGAAGGATGGACAACAAGTCGGAAGGATCAAAAACAAATTTACGACTTACGAAGTTATCTGCTGATCGATCTCTCTCTCTCTCTCTCTCTCTGTATACACAAAAACCCAATGTATCCAGATGCGGGTGTATACATATATATATATATACATATATATATAGATATAACTGCATCCTAGACGCCTCCTGTGCATTTCCGGATACGAGTTGTGCACATGCAAATAACTAATTATGGTATGTATATGTGTATATATATATATTTACACATGCATACACATGCATATACACATATACATATAAAGATATATATGTGGATACTATGTATACATATATATATATATATGTATGTGTATGTATATATATATATATATATATTATATATATATATTAATAGTTAATATGTATAGATACATATATTTATATACTCATATACAAACACATACACACATACACACACATATATATATATATGTTGTCACATATATATATATGTATGTATGTATACACACACACTTATGTTGTGTTTTTGTTTGCCGCTTTCCCGCATTTTAGTTACTACCATTACGATGATTACGATTACAAATTCGAATTACGAGGGATGTGTTTGTTCGGGTGTGTTTATTTGCTTTTCTTGTTGTTGCAAGTACAAAGAAACATGGATCGAGAGAGCACAAACGGGACAGCAGGAAAGACAGCACAAAATAACGTCAACAAAATAAACAAAGAAATCATCACGACAGATGGACACCAGGCAAGATCGATGTCGCAAGCTTGCATCGTGCAGCTTTTGCTGGATCAGCTGTGCATGAGCCAGCTGTTGCAGCGCATCAACTTGACCACAGTTTCGCTCAATTCCGACCCGAATCTATTGAAATCTCACTTGAAGAACTCTCCTGATTTGTTTTTGGTCCTTCCGAATTTTTTGCTGACCGCTCTTCCCAGGAACCGTGCTGGTATTTGCGGCAGATCCCAAACCCTAATTTTTGTTTGAGCAATCCTGATTTGCTTGATCCGTTGCGCCTATTTTGTTTTGATCCTTCCTAAATTTTCCGTTGATCCTTCACCCCCCATGGCGGGGAGAATGTGCCTTTGTACCTTCACGTTAGTGATAGTGGTTGCTGTCACGTAATCTAAACTTCGAAGGTTCATCTGAGGCCTTCAACAGGTAGTGCAGAGAGAGGTTTGCCGGTCGCCGATGTGCAGTTCATATATGCATCACCGATGATTCGGTTGTTTTACATTTCTGTCCATCTACAAGTAAGAGTTTTGCGCTATACACACATATGTCCACTTATTTATTTATATGTCCGCATAGGCACACATGTTCACACATGTCGGCATACATAACCATACCAGGCCATAGCAGCATAGCAGCAAACACTGGCGTAGTCAGTAGAAAGCTGCCGTTAATAGAGGTAATACATTCCGTGAGATTTATCATCCACTGCCTTACATGTAAGTAGATGACTTAGAAAACACATGCACTTACACTCAACATCTGAATCTAAACTGATGTCGGCTCTGAACCACGATTTCCGGTTTTGGGACATCCCAGCAGTGGGCCAGCAGTGCCCCAACACCCCAAGAACATCGACAACCCTTGAAGCCCGAAAGCCTTTCGTGATAAGCACCCTCAGGACAGCGAAGAGGTCGAGCTTTTGGCGCGGAGGCGGCCGGTTCCTCCCCCCATCGACGTCGAGGCACCTTCGGCACAGCTTGCGAGCATTAGAGATTACACTGAGGGATTACCTCTGTCGCTGGTGCGAGTCGATCTGATGGTTCGTTCTTGTGAGTTTGATGCCGAGAAGCGCGGAAAGTGTAGGCTGCATGCAGTGCTGGGCATGACGTTCATGCTCCACGGCTTGATGCTTGTGCTCAAGCTCGGCATCCCACTTGCGAGCTCGAGATATTAGAGTTGGTGCGGCAATAATGCCACTGATGATATAAAGGTGAAATATCGTAATACTACCAAGACTATCATGTTAACATTTAAAACCTAGGAAGAACTACAAGCACAAGTCCCTTTGTGCCAGGATGCATCGAAGTCGACAGCCAAGTGCTTCGCACCTCAGAGCCCGTCGAAACAGCCGCCGGCTCCACCGGCTGATGATCAGCATGACGAAGAGGAGGGGTTTAAGGTTTAGTGGGGCACTGACTGGCAGCATCGTAATCTCACACGATAGGCAGTCTAATCAAGTGTCCTTTTTCCGGTGCACTTTGTGGACGTAACGTTCTAGTTGCGGCCGGACAGGCCGACGTCAGCGGTAGAATGCATCCGATTAGCTTCAGTCCCATAATCCCGGAACAAGCTCCCAAGACCCATTAGATCGCTCTGGTAGAGGCTTGTTGACAAGAGGTCGGCCTGTCGACGTGTACGCTCATGGATTGTATGGGCGCTTGTAGGTAGGCTTAGTAAGGGGTGCAGTATGAAGGGTACGTATGTACTGCTTGTAACCGTAGATGTAATGTAGTTAGCCCAAAGTATAACACAGATCTGACTGAGCCTTCAAGGTGAGACCTTGCTTAGTCTGGCTGTTCGCGACTTTATGGGCATGGGGGCTTTTCTGGAGACGTCGTCAAGGACTTCTCTAAGACCTGTAGACTCGGGACGGCTTTCGGCTACTAACGAGTGCCCCCCACTCCGTCATACAGGTCGTTTTAAATATGGACACGACACATGATGCGCAGAGTCAAACAGCTTGATGCTGCTAATTACTTTGCATTGCTTTGGTCTGGTCTGAAGCGCCAGTGTGCCTCAGAATTGAAGGCTTACGGTACTTGACTTGCTAGGCATGCAAGTTCCGTAGCTCTTGAACCCCAGCCCACTTCATGACTTCATGTCTCCGCCGCACAAGCCCGACCTTTGCTCAGACCGTCGCCAGCCTGCGAAGTCATCAGTCGGATTCCGTGGACTATGGGAACCCCGGTCGAAAGACAGTGGGCTGAGGTCGAGGGATGGAGCGGATTTGAGATTTGGAGGGACCAGTTTCTCAATGTCAAGCCAGCAGACACCCAATGCTGGCCGGTAAACGCCTGCGCCGCGCATGACCAGCCGCTGCACATAATTGATGCTCGCAGCCCTTATCTGTCATGCTTGCATCAAAATCTGCAACCTCCCAATCCTGACATCCCTGACCCTGTACGCATTTCCCAATCGTGGCAAGATGTGCCGCTAATTCGCAGGCTCACAAAACTCCAGAAAAGTTGTTCCTTGTAATCCTCGTCCTCAGGGAGGGCAACACCACGACAACGACGCCAAATTCCAAGATGTGGAGGTCGCGACAATCGCGCTTCTTGGGGACGCAGGCTCGAAGCTGAACTGTTACTGTGCGAGGAGGAGGGGTGGTGAGAGCAGTGGCAGTGGCAGTAATGGCAGCAGCAGTAGAGCAGCAGCAGCATCAGGAGTAGTAGGAGGAGTAGTAGTAGTAGTAGCAGCAGTAGCAGTAGCAGTAGCAGTAGCAGTAGCAGTAGCAGTAGTAGTAGTAGTAGTAGTAGGAGGTGTAGTAGTAGTAGTAGTAGTAGTAGGAGGTGTAGTAGGAGTAGTAGTAGTAGTGGTAGTAGTAGCAGTAGTAGTAGTAGTAGCAACAGGAGCAGGAGCAGCAGCGGCGGCAGTGGCAGCCTGTTCTCGCGTCGTTGTTGTTGACAGTGGTGGCGGCGGTCTTGCTGCTGCTGCTGGTGCTGGTGCTGCTGCTGCTGCCAGTCGCTAGTGTTGTTCTGGCTGTGTTGAGATAGAGATCGTCGTTGCAAGGGCAGCAGTGAGGAGTCTGGCTAGGAGCTGAGTAGGTCTGGGAATCTTGGAACAATTCTGGCATTCAGGGATCACATCTATTCAGGACAGATCAGTATCTCAGTCGCTCCGCAGCTTAAGTCTTGAGTGCGTATGCTTGCAAAGGTTCCAAGTGTTCTTTTGCAATGCAGCAGCCCCAGCACAATCCGGAAACCCGAAGTGGAAGCCTTTGCGCTTCCGTTTCCCTCGTATATCAGCTTCTGCGAGGTGGCAGGCTCGCTTGCCTTGTCCCGAGGTGTTTGGGGTATATAGTTAGATTCCAACCCCCTTGACATGCAAGCTGACTTTAGCTCAAAAAAAACTACCAGCTAAGTCCGGTGAACAGGTCATGAGCGAGAAGTGGACGCCGGATCCGCCTCTGCTTCTCGTTTGTCCTACGGTAGCCCGGGAGTGACTTGCAAGCCCGTGTTGTGGAACCTTGGACGGTTGCTGCTACTGTACGGTTCCGACCAAGAAGGCGACAACAGCAAACCACTGCCGCCGCCACGGCCACTCCTAGGACGAACGATATGACGACAACCATGACGAAGACGACTGCGATAGTTATACTAGTTGTCACGATGACGATGAACATCGATGGGTTTTCCTTCAAGACTGTAGATTTTTTTGAACGGCCCTCCGCATTCTTGGGGGAGCGGAACGATGATAAGGAAGCGAAGCTGCATTCGGCCGGAGACGCGTTTTTATTGAATGGAGAAGTCTAATGTCTGTACAAACCCAATAAACCCCAAAATAACTGTGCCCTATAGACCATTGGAGACTCAGGAAACAGTTCGTCAAGGGCCCGCTAGATGGCTACATGGGCTTGGTTGTCATTATCAACCTCGGCTTCATGTGGCCCGGCAACACCTGTTGGTTCAGGGTTTAGAGTTTAGACTCCGACGATGCGCAGTCATGAGATTCTGCACGTGTAGTTTGCAGGCAGACGCTTTGCATCCGTGCAAGTCATGTCAGCTCAGCGTTGCACCACGCGCTTGTGTTGCCCAGCCCGTTCAGCCGAGCCCTAAAAGAGCCTCTAAAGAGCAGGCCCTCTCGTCACCTGCCGCAGGATGGCTAGTATGTCGGACTATGCATCCTGAAAAACTACTGAATATTTCCATTGTGACATGGATAACCCCCAGAAAGCTCAACCCACACACTGTGAGGATCATGATGACGCAGTGGATGGGCTCTGTAGCTGACCTCAGCCTCGGCATAGGCCTCTCGTTTGCACGGCAGTTCGGACGGTTGGCTTCAGAGATCGAGAATCGTGCTTCTTGTTAGAGCTGTCTAGAATTCCCCCGCGCCGTCAAGTCTGAAACGAGCCGAGGTGCTCCCATGTAGCTCCTCCTGCCCACTAAAAGCAATTGCAGCATGCCCAATCCTGATCCTCAAGCCCCGAGCCCAACCGCATGAGAAGTTTGCTGGGCCGCTGCGCTCGACTGGCTTCAAATTTGTGTGGTTTCATGGAACTTCGGATTTGTGGTTGATGGAAAGTCGCCCTCTGCCCGTGGCCCAGGGCAGCTGACCCTAGCTTGGAAATCTACTGCTTGTATGTTGTTTCTTGTTTGTTTCTTTTGGAGCGGAGGACCCATCCTATGCAACGGAAAGCCAATATGTGCATGTGGTGAGCCCCTACAATCTGCAACCTTGAGCTCGTCATGTTCTCCATATTTGTTTAAGCTTATGGTTGCCAGCTTGCTTGTTGAAAAGAGCGTTGTTGTGACTGTCGTACCAGTTGTTGTTCTTCATCTTAGCTTGGCTACGATCTTCTTAGTGTGCGTCTCATGTAGATATCTAGATACCCCTCTTGTAGTTAGAAGTGCAAGTGTAGCCCTTCTTACCAATGCCGTCACTCGCGCTAAGATCAGTGTAACAGTTCGAGGCCGCAGGTAAGCCCTGGCATCGCTCTCAGCATATTACCACTACCTGTAAGGCTCAACCCTGAACCCATGATCCCTGGCTGAAGGAAGCATCGAGGACACCCAGTGGATCGACGAGTACTTCTTTGAGGCAGAAGGAAGTTTGGGAGGTCTCTGAGGGTTTAGGGCCTTATGTAGGGGTTCGAGGGCTTAGGGCTGAAGGCTAGGGGACTAGGGCCTAGGGCACCTAGCTTCGGGCTGATGGTGGGCAGGGGCCGTGGAGACTTACCGTAGGTTTGGGGCGGACCCCTGTACTAACTGTTCGAAACTAGCTTGTGCCCTGTCAGCATTCTCATGTGAACTCGTGGGGCTGCAGGAGAACTTGTCGTGAATACTAGCAGGCCTGCATGTGGGTGATCCTGAACAGGTGGGTCCGGAACTCGATCGAAGGCCTAGCCCACCGATCTACGCCGTTTGAGCAAGAATCCCGTGGTGTTGAAACTTCTTTTGGCCCGCTTCTAGTTGCAGTCCATTCGCGAAATGTGGGCCCAACCAGCTGCCAGAGCGAATGGTATACATGCTCTGCCGAAGCGGAACTAGATGTGGCCAATCATTAGTGGGAATTCCTTGTTCGGGGCCGCGCAGTGCTACGATGGTCACCCACACAATGACAAGGACCCCAACTTGAGGCCGTCTTCTTCGAGTGTTGCAACGTGAATCCCTCAATCCCGAGATCAGGGTTCCAGAATTGGAGGTTGGAGTCTAGGTGTAGTGTTCTTGGGTTTGTTGGTCGACTGTTTATCCGACATACACTGCATGGTTTGGGGCAGGGTTTTACGAATGTGCAACGGTGCTTCTGATTGAGAGATACATCGAGCGGAGATTGCTCAGGGTATCAACGCCGCTGTTCCCACAAACACCGCAGCAATCAGGTTGCGGAGTACGTCTTCTTTACCTTGTATGTTACCTGGCTGCGCTTGGTGTCTAGGGTACTTTGGGTCCGAGGGTCAAGCCATGGGTGAAGCCGAAGCTGAAGCTTGACTGAATGCAGACACAGCCGTCCGATTCAGCTTGGCAGGCAGGCGCGCCCACACGCATGCGTGGACACACCCACACGCATGCGCCGCACGTGTGCACGCGCGCACTGCCGCGCAGCCCTTGCGGCAGTGTGCGTGTTTCTCTGACTTCTCTGCACGGTCCGAAAGTTCATCGGTGCAGAAGCTCTTACGCAGCAGCTCTTACAAACTCTTAGACCCTGAAGCCAGCAGGTCATGGACGTCTTGGTGCGCGCGTACGTCCTTGGCCGGGAGTGGCTTTGGGATCCTCGCTTGGGATTGCAGCGACTTGTATAAAGAAGAAATTGTTGATGATGAGTGTTCCGAGCAAAGTCTGGTGTTGTATAGGAGCTGCTTCAGGAATTGATGCCACCGTAGGCCCGATGTATCCCGATGTAGCAGGGTGGGGCATTCCAGCATAATGGTACAGGAAGCTTTGAGCTCGAAGCACCCTGTAGCATCTGAGAATCTGTTTTGACATCGGAGCCTGAGCCTATCATGACATCTTACATCTTACTAGTAACACTAGTAGCGGAAAGCGTGGACTCCTTTACTGCAGCAATGTCTATACTCCAGAATTCGAAGTACCATTGAGAGTAGTCTTGCGCTGATGCGTGGGCAGGTATCTCAATGTGTTTGACGCCGTCTTGGTTTGTCTGACTCTCGTCCTGCAGAGCTGGGGATTTCCATGACGTGCTTGGTGCGAGCGTTGTCACTTCTTCGAGTCGGCAGCACAGTGCTTGTTTGGAAGCATTCCAGACTGCGCCTGTGGCCGAGTGCCTCGTCAAACTTGCAGTCTGATCGCATGTTTTTGGCGGTGACGCCTGAGGAATGTGTTTGAGCTCTTCCTGTTTCCCGCATTAGTCCTTGGCAGCAGCAATCAAGACCGCGACCAGCAGCTTGGCACGACATGGCCTATACCCTAAGGGTCCATGTGCCCAATAGGGTTCCTTTAAGGTTTGGGGTTCAAGGTCCATGTACCCACAAAGCAAAAACTTGGCCTTAAAGCCGTCCCTGTGTAGGTACTTTGGGGCCACTTGGACCGTTAGGTCTAGTTCCCCGACTGACCAACATGGACCCAGCAACAGCTTGTGCTGCCATTGCCGCCTAATCTCACAGCAACTGTCACTAGAGTGTATGCATTATAATCAACAACCTAAACTATACTAGTATATACATTTACCTGCCATGCGATCTCCGGTTCAAAGCCAAAAAGCTGAAGCACAAGACTTGCCGGATCATCGTCTTCCCTACAGGAGGACACAGCCCAGCATTCCGGTCTAGTACCCTGTGTATGTGACCCTAGACTCTAGACCCTCACACTTCGAAGACCAAACCCCAAGTAAGTGGAAGACCATATGAGATGGAGCATCACCCGTTTACCAGTTCTGGTGCCACGTTCAACCCTTCACGGACCAATCCTGCGGTCCACGAAGGCAGGCCAACAGCCTCCGCGTCATCAAGCTGATGCGCATCGTCCGAACCCTGCGCATCGTGAAGACGCTGACGATGTTCCGGCAGCGCCTTGGAAGCCTCTGCACTCTTCACATCGCAAATCAAATATAGAACCTAGACTTTATTATGGACTGGAAGATAAGGGAAGTAGGGCGACTTCCCGAGTCTAGATCTTCAGAGTTGGCCTGAGCTGTCCAGAGGGTTCCACCTTCATGTCAATGTCGTTGGCTTCGTGACTTGAGTTGGCATCTTGGAGGGTAGTTTCTTAAGCGTGAAATGTGAAGAAATGCCTGGGGGTTATGGCCTCGATTGCTACGTACTGCTTAATCACTGGATTCCCAAAAGACGCCGCGGGCGCACGAAAGGTTGAGGCTGCTCGTGGGAACATGCATTGCCAGCCGCTGGGCTCAACTTCATTTGCTCTGGTTCTGGGAAGTCCCGGCTTCAAAAAATGAACGGCCAGCTGGACCGTTGTATATGAAGACGACCGAACTCCTCCAAGTTCTTTGGAATGCTAAGGCCTGAGACCTTAGCACAAGTAGGCTCCGTTTCAAGTTTCATCCTTCTTGCCGAGTTTCTAGGTTTCTCGGTGCTGCAAAGCGCAATGATAAGGGCTTCCGCGCTCCAGAAGCGGGCCACACAGCCTGGCACATTAAGGCATCGGAGCCTTGTTTTGGTCCATGGTTCTGCTCCTCGTGCTCAAACTCGGCCACTTGCCATGCATTTGTTGAGCACACCTCCCCAAAGGGGAAAGGTTCCCCATTGCACTGGGAGCAACAGCTATTGCGACAACGACGTCGCATAGGTTGCAACGTGTGGCTTTCATGTCGGATCAAGAAACTTTACCAGTGCTGGCAGTGGTGGAGTGGTAGTGACAGTGGTAGTATAGTTGTGGTAGTGGTGGTGGCGGTCGTAGGAGCAGTAGTAGCAGCAGTAGTAGTACTACTAGTACTAGTAAAGTAGTAGTGCCAGTAGTGCTGCCAGTGGCAGCAGTATCAGCATCAGCAGAACGAGTAGACGTCGTCGTCGTCGTTGTATGTCATAGCAGCAGTAGTCGCAGTCATCGCTGCTGTTTTCATCAGTATCCTCATCATCACCACCACCATCATCATCACCATCACCCCTGTGAGTAGTAACTAGCAACTGTTTTGAATATGCACTCCAGGCCAGGAATCGTTGGTTAGGCCTTCACAAGATGAACAAAGGAGTAGTTTGTTCAAGCGAAGTTGAAGCGAGTGTCGCGAGTGCACTACAACTTCCAGATGGGTTCACTTCTGGGCTTGCACGATCATATATATTTATTTATTTGTTTATATATATATATATATTTATTTATTTACTGTATGTATTTATTTATTTATATTTATTGCCCTAACAGGAGCTGGAAGCTTGGCCGGAAAAGATTCCCCAGAAAGCCCACGGACAAAAAGCTTGAATAATAAGCTGGCTATCGCCTGTAGCTCTATACCCTAAACCCTAAGCCCACACTCTAAACCGTATAGATCCGGAGCCGGGAGGCTTTGCGCTGATCGTCTGCCAAGCGCTGCAAGGATTCATCCTGGACGACCAGGAACGGAGGGGCTACGAAAGTGCAGAGGGTTTAGGGTTTAGGGTTAAACCCTAAACAAAAAACCCTAGGAAGACCAGTAGCACGGGTAATGGTTCCCCAGCACTATAAGGCCACAGCTTGGATGTTTCACATCTGCAACTGGGTCGCTCAGCCCATTGGCTGGACCCCTTCTGTAACGTTTGGGGTCGTTGCGATTTCACTTCGCCGCCTTTGTTGGTTACGTGTCGAGTCTGATACGGGCGTGAGGTCTGGCCTACTGTTTTCCGAGATTTCACCGCCTCAAATCTTCTCAGTTTTCTGAAACCAATCCTTGCATTCTGCTTCCCTGCCGAAAACCTGGAGACCACCAGAAATGGAGTCCGTGCTAGGCACCTCTCGCTGCGCGAGAAGAGATGAACAACCTGTATGGGAGCTTCCTCAAGGCCCTCTATACCATGACGCTTTGGCAGCATGCAGAGTCTGGCAATTTATTGAATTGGAACCCGAAGCCCTACAGACCTAACTCTATGACTGTTAAATAATTGCGGCTCGGGGTTGGCGGGATCGTCTCAAGCTATGTAGTCTTCCCCTTTGCACAAGTCCGAAGGCCAGAAAGCCTAAAGTTGAATGCAGGAATCGGAATCATTGGTAGTAGTATCCCCTTTACAGCCCCCCCCCCTGTCGGGCATGGTGATAATACGCTCCCAAGCCTAGTATACAGCCTCCAAAACTGAAGCGCTTTCTGTGCCGTCTGTGTTACTGTTACGGGCCAGTTAAGGGTTTTTTTGTTCTGCCTCCTTGCACTTCATATCCCAAACGACGGGGCACCATGAGGGCAATGCCAGTAGCGGTTGAAAAGTGGTGATCGTGTCCGTTCTGACCACGATGACGACGGGGATGATGATGATGATGATGATGGTGATGGTGATGGCGACGCTGATGAGTACTATTAACTATTAACAAGGTATTACTATTCATAATGCGTGTAGGCTGCTGTTGGTAGTATAACTGCTCACATACGGCAGACGACTTACGCTGATGATTCAGGTGCTGACTGCGATTGTGACGGTTTTCGTGTTGATAGACACACGGACATGCATCGATCGACCACAACACATGGCGAAGCCAGCTCCGCGCCATGATGGACCAAAGCGATCATGAAACAAACGTAAGCCTAAACTCTTGACTCCCAGATCCGACAGCTTACCATCGAAGGTTTGAAGTTACCCATTCTGGGAGCTGGCCTACGGTGGTGCGTCCAGTGCTGGAGAAAGTCGATCCCTGGCCACCTGGCGGAAATCCGACAAGAAGTTTCTGGGTCTCGTGCTTGAAGCCACGGTTTAGGTCTTAGGGTTCAGAGGTTGAGCCAGTCTGATGTTCTTTTTGTAGGACTACTATTTAAATCTTGACTTCCAGGCAAAGGGTGCGCCTGGGTGCTTTGGATAGAGCTCCACCTTTTGAAGGTGGTCCTGGGGAATGAAGGCCTCTCAAACCTGTTGGATCTGGCAGTCCACCGTTTGGGTACAGGGCTTCAAGAGTGTCAGGCATTCATGATCGAAATCTCATGCCCGGGTGACTGTGGATCATCCAGCATTCATCGCTGCTTCCATTAACACATGACGGTCAATTCACATCACCCCCGAATTTACGAATCGCAGGTGTCCCATCCTGGAGGATCAAAGCCCTCATACCTTGAAGGCTTCAATTCGGGGTGCCTTCGTTCTCTGAATCTGAAAGGGTCTACATGTTTTTGAATCTAAAAAGCCGCCGAGTGTCTGGAAGAAGGAAGGCTCTGAAGCTGGGCCTGTAGCTACGGGAATCGCAACCCAAGGCTTTCAGAGACATTTCAGCCCACAGGCCCTGAACCCTGCAACTCCCATCGCCCCAGAACCCCTCCACCAAGAAACCCGAAATGAAGGCACACGTCTGAAGCCTTCAATCGGAATTTTGGAGAGAGTTTGTTCGATAGCTCCCGTTTCCGGGCTCGACTGGTTCGAGTGGTCACAAACAGACGTCAGAATGGTGGAGCTGCACCTGCAGACTCCAATGTGGCTCTGGACACTCGAACCCTGAAGCCCCGAAACTACCGTTGATGATACAAATCCTGCATTACCTTAAGGACCCTAAACTATGGAAATTATGGTATATTCCTTATTATGGGATTTATATCATCAACCGTAGGTCTACAGCTCTCAGCTCGGCCCAGGTATGCCCTCTTCTTCCTCACCTACATCACCCTCGCGACTAAGCTGTCCATTTCGACATCCCTGGATCCGCCCACTTCCAGTTCCCAAGACGCCCCCGAAAGAAAGCAACGCATTCACATCCAGTCAGAGGAAGTCCTGCTGCAGATGTTTGTAGCACTTGAATTGGAGGTTTGGGTCTTGAGGGCTGCACTATTTAGAGTTTACATTGGATAGATACTATCATTTTTTCTAATTTATTTTGTTTATTTTGGTTACACATCATTTTTCATATGCTATATAGGCCCCGCAGCAAAAGAACGGCCCTCAACCGTAGAACGACCCTCAACCGTGGTCCGGTCGGGGACTTGGGAGCAAAGTCTTCCACCCACCCAGCTACACCTGCGCCAAAGTGCCAGACCCCTGAGCATGTGCATGTTGACAGGCATATACACACACACACATAGCTACTTCTCAATGTTTGCACCTCTCTGTCTTGCAAGCCCACAAACTGGCTCCCGTCTCTCGGCGAGGTGGTCTTTGCAGTCATTCGCGTCGTAACCGCCCTCTTTCTTAAAGCAGCTTGGCCGGAGAGTGATCAAGTTAAGTGAGCTCTGGGCAGGACACATCGGGTTGATGGGGCTTTGGAGTTGGCCTGCCTCCTCCCTCCTCTCTGAACGAGGCAAGTTCCCCGGGTCCTCGCATGACGAGGCTTTTCGGGTTGTTGGTTTCAGTGATTCAGGGCAGGGTGACTATGAATGAGGGGGGCTGCAATGCACAAGATTGAGGGTTCATCATGGTGCTTCAGCGAGGAAACTTTGGCGAGTGCGGAGAACGATGCGGACATGGCAATGGAGAACTCCAGACGTGGCGCGGTTTCAACATTCACACCCGGAGGGAAAAAGATGTGTTGGAAATAAGTAGAGTCTGTTTCGACGACGGCTGTTTGTGAAACTAGGGCCACTGTGGCAGTCTTGCAGGCCTGCTATCCGTTTCGAGCTTGCTGGGGCCGACAGTCAGCCTTTGCCTCTGGTTTGAGGCTGGTAAGGCCCATAGATGGGGTTAAATCTGGTGCTCCCGCAAATCTTTCGAGCTTTGTCTTTGCAGGAGCCATCTTTGCCCACACAGGATCAGTAGGATGCTGAGTGGAATTTCGCGGTAGGTAGAGACGTTACCCCTCTGGAGTTCTGGAGTCTACATGCGCGGCAAGAGACTTTTAAGTCAACTTTTATTTTAGCTGAAGAGGCCGCTGTCCCGAGCGGCAAAATAAACATAGCACTGCACCAAGATTTTGTTGAATGCCCACGACATCTTCTGCAGCAGTGGCTAATTATGAGTGATCGGGGGCATTCCTTCATCGCCACCCTCTGGCCCACTGTTGTCAACTCTCCATGATGGCAGCGCGTGGCCAAATAGGATCACAGTCCAGCAGTTTTACGCTGAGAGCGATTAGCCTCCAAGGTCAGGCTGGGGAGACTCACAGGACCCGGTGGGAGGGTGGTCTCACGGAGTGCTTCGTTGATGATTGGTTTCCAAGAACAAAGAGTCGATGACCTTGGCTTTGGAAGGTTGAGTAGAAGTCAGCCTAAGCAGCCATGTCAGTTCGAGTGCGTGGAGAGGGAGAAGTGTTGCGGACGTGAACTCTTTTAAGGGGGACCCCTGACTTCGGAATCTCGCAGCATAGCGAAGCTAGCTTTTAGGAAGTAGCCATGGGAGCGAGAATCCCGACCTTAGGAGTCCTGTCGTCGTCTGCAAACTCTTCCAAGCTGCAAGCACCCTCGTGTTGCAATCGCGGACAAGATGCCGACATAACATCGAAGTCATCGAAGTAGCAGAGCAGGTCCTGGCGCAAGCACTTCAAAATCCCGATGACATAGTCTCCGGCTCCCGAGCTCTACGAAGCAGTCCTTGGCCGGCCAGGAAGCTGGAGGACTTGTTCATGGTGGCAGATGAGGCTGCCTCCGACATGAACAGTTTTGTGTAAACGCTCTTTATTCTAGGCAGATACAGCCATGATACAGCTACAATTTAGAAGATGCAAGAAAAGCTCTAAGTGAAGCCTCTGGGCCCATGATTCTCGTGTGCAGACCGCAGACCGCCCGGCTCCGAAGCGACGAAGGGGTTTTGGCAAGCCGTTTTCTAGGCATGTATCCCAGGCTACTGCTGTCTGCGTGCAACGATCCCTAGCCCCAAACTCTGCACTGCTGTATGCCTCTGATGTAAACAAGGCCACCACGAAGCCCCAAGCTGTGATGGTTGCCACTACATGTTTCTTGAAAAGCTTCGTGACAGGACGGTGACGGGCATTTGTCGCCAGAGGAATTCGTGGCAGCACCTTGGCTACCTCGCACAGCAGTGTTGCGCCCCTCGAGCTTCGTCAATTTCCTGTTTCATCCTTGCTGGCAGCAAGAGTCTAGAGATTTCGGTAGCATTCATTTATGCAGGTGCCCTGACGCAAGCCAGTCGACGTGATGGTCGGGGAATTTACAAGGGGTTTTGTATCACAGTTTTTCGCAGCTCAAGGGCCGTGCAAGGAGTTATGGAAACAGGGTTGCATGTTTGGGGAGATTATCAAATCATCGCTGTGGGAAGAAACTTGCATAGGTGTCTCAGAGGCACCGCTTACCCGAAGCAGCCTGGTCGCTGCCTGCATTTCGACGGGGAAGTTGTCCGGCTCAAACAGTAGAGCAACTCCGGAGCAGAACAGATATCAAGCAAAAACAGCTCGGCATTGCCCCCTCTATCGAGCCGAGAAGAAGCAACATCGGCAGCACAGGCAATGAGTCTGCCCAGCGTGCAGCGATTCCTCACCTCCTTGGACGTCAGTATCAGGTCGGGCTGGGACTCAGGGCAACACAACGGAGACCAGTCTTGAAACGATTATGTTATTATGTTTCTGAGATTCTGTTCAGATTGCATGCAATGCTCGTTTTTCCTGCGAAGCGACAGCTTCAAGCTACAGCTACCGGTGAGCTATTACGTGTTGTGGCACCAGGCACTACTTGAGAACCCGGTTCAATGTTAGTAGTTCGGTTTCCGACGACTGCCTGACTGGCGCCCATTAATGAAAACGCTTTGCGCAACCAAAAGCTGTTTTGCAGTCTTCTGTTCGAGTGGGTAGCTAGAGAAGATGAAGGAATTACTGGACTCAGGTTAATGATTATCAAAGTTCCGGCCTGTCGGAACCCCCAGCAGCTCCGAGCCAAGTTTATGACTAAAGCTTGCTTGAGCATAGCATCCTGTGGGCGCAAATGAGGCTTGGAGAGGTAGTAGGTCGTGTCTGATCTGTAGGAATCCAGGTAGCATTGCAAGCTTTAGGAAAGTCAATGGCCGCAAAACATGCATGCTAAAATTAAAATGGAAGCTGTCAACGCTTAGTTCGGCTTGTACCCTTCTGGACCTGCTTTGCTCGGATCACCCTCCGATATCCGAAGTTCAGATTCGCAACTGCCCCGACCCACTCTTGAAGCATGGTTGATGGACATTACCTCACTGGAGGTTTGGCATGCAATAGCGATGTTATTAGGATTCCGGTCTGTGACAAGGAGATAAAAGGTTTGCTGCGAAGCTGAGCGCAACTAACCCTGAAACTCTTACAAGAACGCGGCTATCATGTACAAGCTGCAAGCGTCAAGGCCCATATGTCGGCAGCATGCTATAGCATATTCCTCCGTGGTAGCGTTGGCACATGTCAGGATATGGCCATTCGTGTTTTGCATTTGCTTTTTGCCATCGTTGCCACCTTGAGGCATGTGACAAAAGAAGCTCTTTCCTGTCGATGTGTTCACACTCGTGCCATGTCGATGCGTCGTGGCAGGTTTAGCGAGTCTATCACGTCGATCGTTCGACCTACCTCGTACCACGACTGTAACAGGAGCTTTTGACAACTTCGTTTTCAGTACAAGCCTCGGAGCAGTTGTCAGTGCTGCTGCTACCAGTAAGCAGGGTTTGTTGTCCTGAATCAACCTGTTGTTCCTGTACGAAAGTGTTCAGCACCCCACTTTCAGGAAAACTGGTTCTGGTTGTATGGGTCGAATCTGCATGTTCCTATGATTTGCCATGTATTCGTGATTGACAGTTTAGCTGGCGCAGGGACTGCGGCCCCTTGTTCGACATCCTGGATGATGGTGACGGTATGCTTCATGGATAAAATTATTGACCGTGCTGCTTGCGGCCCTAGGCTGTTCATAACACAATAACAGAAAATTAGTAGGACACGATGTGTATGTATGTGTGTATGTATATATATACATATATATATATATATATTTATATTTATATTTTACATACATGTGTCTATACCTTCATATTCTTTATCACATGTTAAAGCAAAATAGAACATGGTGCAATATAGTATGACACAACATAGCGTAATATGTCGTGACATCGTATAATGCAACACAACATGGTAGCATCTTGTCTTACATTGTCTGCTGCTGAGAATGCCAAGGTGTAGTAGCACGTCCCAAAGGTGTAGGGCCAGTTGAACGGTGAGCCAGTTGTTTTCCAGAGGTTGAAAGCCCCTATTTCTGAGTGCAGCCTGTAGATCTCGATAAAACCGCCAACTCACGGCTGCGACAACATGGGACTTTCCGAAAATTAGGGTACCTTATTTTGGGGTCCTTATAGTAAGGATCCTACTATTAAGGGTACTATATTAGGGTCCCCTATTTTCGGAAACCCCCATATCATGCGAGATGGTGGCGATGCCTGCACCCTGTTCCTCCTGCCGATGTTCAAGTATGCGTTGATGGCGGCTTTCGCATGGGAGCGCCAATTGGTTCGTTGTTGCGAAGACCAAGGATCACCATTGCGGAGTTCTGCAAGGGTCTGATGCAGCTGAAGGGCCAAGCACGTGCCATCGATCTCGCCACATGGCTAGCTTTGAGGACTCATTTAGGGCGGCCAAATCAACGGCTTTAGTCTTAAAGAGCCCTTGTATGGCACGACCCTCAGGCCACGAGATCTCTGTTATCTGATACTATTTAGCCTTTGGCCGGGGCAGGCTTCACGTTCGCTTTCACTGGCTCCAACTATGCCTATCATATAAACAGTACACTCAGCCAGGTTGAGGCTTCACGATTTGATGTCGGAATCGCCGCACTGCTTTAAACTTTTTGAAACCCCGAGTCCCGAAGCTGCATACCAGGGCCACGCCCGACGAACTTGACAGCATGCTTGCTTCTCCGTACTTGCGCTGACAAAAAATGCCATAATAGCTTTCGAGCTGAAAGTCTGGCGGTTTGAACACCGGGATGGTGCAGAGATCAGGGCTTACGTGTAGACTTGTTTGAGAGTGCATGTAGACAGCAACGCACAGAATCAGGTCGTTTTGCAGCACGCCTCCTGTCTGCAATATGAACTTGTCTACACGGACTGAGAGCCATCGGAAGGCCATGGCTGTGGAAGACTGACTTCAGATTGATTGCGAGCCCGCGTTGCCACGATTCGATGCCAGCCAATTTCGACTCCCTGGAATGAGATACCACCTTTGATCTTGCATCGTGCTGTCGTCCTGGCAATCGCTAACATTGCCGAGGTAGCTTAAACCGAAAGATTGAAGCAGGGTAACGACAAACAGTTTACATAGTAGGTTGATTTTGGGCTCGGGCTGATAACAAGCTTTTTCATGCGTCGAGGTTAGGGCGGTTGAATTGCAGGTTGTAGTTCAGTCAGCCAGCCTAGTTTGCCCAACGCTGCCCAGCCCGCAGAATTTTTGTTGCACCAAAATGCCCGTTCACCGAGGACAATCGAAAGTTGCTGCGAGAGTGCGAGCGGATCAACGTGACACTACGCCACCTTTCCAAGGCTTCTGCTTGCCCCGCAATGCAGCGATGTAGGGTGCAGAAGTAGCTGCACTTTATGCTTTGGTCTCTGGGAGTATCGGTTTTAGGATCAGACTTCAGCAGGTTCCTAAGCCTCAAGCTTCAATTTCTTTGAAGGGGTCTAGGCTTGTCTGCTGCTGTGTATAGTATGAGTATGACAGAGGTCGCCCAGCCTGGCCTAACCCGCAGACCCACTGGAATTACGATTTTCAGACCTTCGGGACTTCAGCTTCCCAAGCGGCGAATGGACAACAACGTACACGTGACAGCACAAAACTCTCCAATCTCGATAGGCTGAGGTTCCGATCTCGTCTGAGCTTGGGGCCCTGTGAGCCTCGGAGTCTGGAACCCCCCAAAAACCTCCAACACATCAACCATGCAACTTCTGGTTGCGCCCCTTGAACATCTTGAGCCCAGATATTCATGACAAGCCCTGAGCCCGAAGCCCCAAATCAGCCGAGTGCCTCGGAACTTCGCCTCGGAAGAGATGTCATGTGATTCAAAAGCCATTTCATAAGCTTGAAGCCTACCGGCCTTCGTTTCTTGGGTTGTGGTTAGTAGCTACCCTAAAAACTGATCTGCATAATTCTTATGCTTGTTTCTGGCATCGTATATGCGCAGCCTCAACCCTTAATGTGGACAACGCAGTCATATTATTTTTTAAGATGCACCCTTGTGTTTTTGTTACTTTACTCGCGCACTGCCGAGCGCGAGAGTCGACACCGTCCACTAACTGGGATCTCCGAGTTTTCCACGCCATGGAAACCGAAAGAACCCCCCCTGGTTTATAAATTTTAAATGACCCTACACTAAAGTGCTTTTGCCAGGCCATGCGCGTCCCGCAAGTGCAGAGGTCAGACTCGCATCTTCACTACTCGCAGCTGCCTCGGTGGGTTTCCGGACGGTACATGGCCAGTGGGCTTGCTTCCAAGAGGGTGGGCTGTGTGCCTGAGTGACATGCGCACTGGGCCAACGTCCTGACAGCTTTGGTTGATAGGGACTTAGGGTCGGAGAGCCCAGATTGACTAATGAAGTTGAGTCGTTTATCAGAGATGGAGCTTTGTTGATCGGCCTTTCGTGCTGTGTGCGGCGTTTACATCTTCTTCGAGAACATTTTATATCTGAAGCCCGCTGAAAGAGAACCTTACATGACAGCAAGTCTCAAACCCCGAAAACCCGAAAGCCCAAGCGACGCGGAGGCACTTCTGACAGCCGGGCTGCAGCCCGGATCACTCGAAGCACCTGCACCTCAGCTCGTCTCCACGGCCATGCCGCGCCGGTACACAGTACTACTACGGTATTGCACTAGCTCATTAGACCATATTGTTGCGACGTCACGGATCGCATGCTACTCCATCATGCGACATGTCATACATTGGTCATGCATGCCATAAGGCCCCCGTCATGGCATAGTTCGTGTGCGGACTGCCTCCTTTGCTGTCCCAGTACTGTTTACTTCCGAGGCCAAGGTTCCTGAACCCCGCGAAGGCCCCACTGGGGCATGGAAAGTCGTGAGACCCTAAATCGAGGTGCCTCCGCAACAAAAACCCCCTAACAACCGTAAGCAGTGTGACGCTTAACCCTTGTGCGGGTCTTGCATATGCTACGGGTTTGTTGAACTTCTTTCCCGCCTGAATGCGCGCTGCTAGGGCAGCTGCTTGCAAGGTAACCTTCAAGCCATAGCTTTCAGTCAGCCTTTTTTCCGTTGCACTGGCTAGAATAGAGTTTGGGGTCCTGAAACATGGAGCAGAGTTCACGGCTTTCTGGAAGAATGCGCTAAGTAGAGCATGCTACAGCAGTTCCCAACATTTCACGCGTGCCGAGACATGCTTTTCCACACCGACGAAACGTGCAACAGATCTGAAGGATCAGCACCTATACCGGAATGGACTGCCACTGTCCCGCTCGACTGCCATGGGAGTAAAGAGAGATATTGCTATTTTTTTCCTACATGGGCATGTGTTATCATAAAGAGCTACATGTACGTGCACACTCCATACAAAGCACATACAGAGAGACGCGTATTCTTCGTTGGTTTTGGCATGCAATCACTAGCCGTAGCCGCAGCGTGCTGGCTGTATCTCTGTGCAGAACCGGCAATACTGTTCAGAAAAGCGCTGCAGATTGTTGGAATCAAGCGCTTCTGCGGCGTGTAGCTAACCTCCCAGAAAGATCTAGCTAGCTCTAGCTGATGCTCCCCTCCTTGGGAAAAATCCAGAACCAGTAGTCGTAAGCCACTGAAGCCGGTAGGGAATGTTGAGCCCATAAGCCCATCAGCACGAGGTTACACGAAGCTTGCGTGTAGGGCCGTGGTTGTGGACATTAAATATAGGGGCCTGAACAATTACCTATACTATTATGGGGGGGGGGGTCCTTTTTATACTTCTAGTTCAATGGGCCCAAAACCCTATTCTAATTATTAAAGGCCCTGTATCATTAGCTGCACCTTGTCTGCAGCGGGTCGAGCGAGGCACGCATTTGCAGTGACCGCAGCATCCATCTGAAATTATTGCGCGTGTGACGCTTATATGGACCACCAAGTTGAAGTCTCGGTTCCGTTTTGCCTTGTGCACAGGGGTTTAGGGTTTAGGGAGGCATAAGCTTCCATCTATGCTTGGAGCCAGTCATCACAATCGCCCAAGCTACGTGGTTTACATCATCCAGCCCAAGGTCCAACATCAGGAGGGCTGTTTGTTGTGTAAGTTGGCCTAGGGTTCTGGTGTTCTGGGTCTAAAGGACTCTCATAGGGCCTTGGAGGTTTGGTGTTTAGGGTTTAGTTTTTGGGTTTCGGGTCTATGGTTTAGGTCCTAGGTTTCAGGTGTAGGGTTTCGGGTTGGTTTAGGGTTTAAGTTTTAGGGATTAGGGCTTCAACAGGTTTCAACGTGGTTGGGCCTCCACAAGGCAAAGGGCATCCTTTGCCGACTCGCCCCTGTTATCAGCGACTGTACCTTGCAGGGACGCGAGCAGAGTCCTAAAGCCCATAAAATCTCTCAACTAAAGCCCTGCATCCTGAACCCAATAAGCCCTACACCAGAGAGCTCGTAACCCAGAGCCCAAAGGGAAATGCAAGCTGCCAACCTCATGCTTTTCATTGGCAAGCTGGATCTTCCAAGCCCCGGCTGAGCCTGCGGAGTACCGTCCTTGGCACGTAGCAGAAGTGTCCATTGCATCAGGACTTGTAGAGTCGTTGTAGAGTATAGAGCTTCTAAACCACATGGCTATGAGCCATCAGTCTTTTTCGCTGTGACCTTGCATGGACAATGGCATAATATCCTAGAAGGGGGCATGCTGGCTTAGCGCCCCGAAGGCTGACCAAAGACTGAAAATACTTCCCAGATGCCCGTATATTTAAGCCCGCGAATAGTTTATGCGTTTTTGGCAACTGGCCGAGGCGTTGGCGTTGCTATTCTTCAACACGCCGGTACGTGGTAGTGCGCAGTACAGTAAACTTTGTAAAAGTTCAGCAGCAATCGGTGCAAAGAGTGCTGTGTACTTTGTCAACTGATGTCATTGTTGCCAGGCTTTTGGGTTTGCTCTTGGATAGGATTTGGTATGCTGGATTCAGAGATGCCTACTCAAAGCTGGTGATGGCTGTTCGGGTCGTTATAGCATCCTTGTCGTCTCTATGCACGGCTGACATGTGGATGGCAAATTGGACGCTTCCTCGATCCGACTCATGCTTTGCTGCCTGTGGTGCGCGGCCACCATAGGACCTCACTCCCAGTCTTCCTAGGCATCCCGGCATTTCAGATGAAGAGCCGTGATCTGGTTTAGCCGCCTGTGCGTCTAGGGCCTACAAGCATCCGGATGATGAGTAGCAAAGTGTCGTAGAACTTTTTTGGTAATGTGACGGAGAGCAGATCCACTTCTCTTTATCCTGCGCACAGAACAAGCACCTGCCGGCTGGGGGCGAGAGAGAGACCTCACTATTTCTCCCCACGACATCCCACGACCTCTGGGCCTTTTGGGCATACTGTACGTACTTGAGATGTGACGATTTCGTAAGCAATTCGAAGGTGCTTAAACTCAATGGTACCTCCCAAGATGTTCCACCCCTGCAAGCTGTGAGAGATTGAAAACACCGGAGCAGTTGGTAGACCCTCAATCCAGGGGTTCGTACCCACCCCACAAGGATATGTCAGGGACCGCTTAAATAGAAGTGTATTGGATCCCACCAGAAGGGCAAGAATGAGACCACACTGTGTAGCTACCAACGCACCTTGTTGTTTAAATTTGCGGAAGTGAAGCAACTGAAGCAGAACAACTGACCTACTCTCATTGGGATTCGGAGCCAATAAGCAGCCGAGAAGGCGCAGGTTAGTGCACACGCGTAGAGCGATGATACTTTGGAGATCCAGTGTGGGGGACCAGAGGCTCGTTTGCGACTGAGCTTGGCAGAGGTAAAGCGCCGCCCAGCTTGTGCGAACTGGGTCCCTCGATGACGTTTGGATATGCTTGTTTCTCGAGGAAAGTCTTCAAGCAGAGCCATGTCAATGTGACGGTTATAGGTGTGTAAAGGAACCACTGCTCTGACATTTACATTGAAGTAGAGTAGAGTCGGGCATCCGGCACCAATGAGCCTGGACTGTGGAATGAAATTTAGTGTATCTTATTGAGGTCGACATGTATTTCCCGCAAAGGTCACTGATCACCTCCTGGGTTCTGCACTGCACCATTTGCAAGCTCACGAACTGGTAATCGTCAGGTCAGTGACTCTCTGGAAATTTCGGATGTTCATGTTGGGGTGTGTTGGATCGGGGGTTTAGACTTCGCGCACTCAACTCTAAGGGCCACCCGGGCTTCCTAGCAAAGGAAACGCAGCAGACTCATCACATCTCCCACCCTGCTCTGCCATTTCGAGAAAATTGGATGCCGGTGCCTTCTCAACTTGGGCTGGCAGAGACAGCCTTATGACGTATGCGTGACTGGCTGAAGCCAGCACACGCTGCACGAGAGCAACAAGAGCCGCCGCAATGTGTAAAA